AACCTCTTGGTACTCTTCGCGAAGGAAAAAGGACGGAGGTGTATAGGCCTTGTGTTTAGCCTCTGGTGGCGAAGGCATCTTCTGAAAGAAGTCGTCCTGACTCCACACAACATCCTCATGTACAGGAAAATCACCGGCTGCACCTTCAAATTGAACATCACCATCGTCATCATCGTCATCATGCAACACATGGTAGGCGGCCTTGTAGCAAGGTTCTGGTGCGGGATCATCCTCTGCTTCGTGCACAGCGAGTTGATATTGGCCTGCTTTGACAGAGCAATTGCGTGTGCGTCTTCCATGGTTACAGTATGGCCAGAGGTGAAATGTAATGACATATATGTAAAGTACAATGTGAATCAGATGTTACTGTATCAATTGCATCTAGAGCTATCTGGAGCATCAAACACAGTAAAAGTCTATATGGGAATGCAGTGCTTCAGTACTTACAGTATTACAGTATGATTCTGTGTTCTTCTTGCCTAGAGTCAATTTGTTTTATATTTTGCCGTTCAATGCGCGGCTTAACATGGAAGTGGACTGGCTGGTGTCCATCTATGGCAACATCCCACAATGCAATGCCAATTTGTGAGACTGCTAACATGGATTTGGCCTGGAAGACCTTCCTCATCTCCAATCATCGAATCTTGATCGTCATCTTCTTCTTCAGGACCAGAGCACACGATGTCCTGGTCTTCCTCCTCCGTGAAGCTGGTAGCAATGTGCCCATACCCATTGAGTAGAAAACTAATCTTGGCCTGTTCCACGCCAGTGCGCAAGTCAAGACACCGTATCCTCATAGCTTCCTTGTTTTGGGATGGCTTAAGCTTGATATTCGCATCTCCTTGCCCAGCCAGTTGAAAGGTCAGGGACATTACCCAAGGCTTGATCTTGGCCTTCTCGTTCTTCAACACCGGTTGGCCGCCCTCACACTTGATGTGCTTTTGGACCCATTCCTGTGTCGCGATTTGTCCTGTCTTGGTGTTCATGACAATGTACCGCTCGCAGTTGGTCAAAGCATCCAGGTCATCCTTGCATTTCTTTTTCTTTTTTTGGACTGATTCACCTCCCTCCTCCGTAAGCATCTCAATGTATCGTGCTTTGGCAGTTTGGAACTGCTTGAGGTGGAGAACCAATGTCCGAACTGTGGCTGCGGCAACTTCATAGGGCAGAGATTTCCAAGTGCTTCCCTCCTCAAGCGCGAACACTTGGCAGCAAACAAAAACAATAATATACCTACTCTTTGCAGCTTCCACTTCTATGTTTACCCTCACAAAGAAACATACTTTGCAGATTGCCACACATGTCGTGGTCAATCACCAACTGCACTTCTATGATAATGAAATGAAGATTCAAAAATGTCAGTCCTGAATCTGCCACTCATATCTCGTGCACCTCTGGGGAGTCGACGCCAAACCATACTCAGCAAAGCTGTCGCACAGGAGAGATTTGGCCTCTTCTATTGTGAGTACTTCAGCACCCAAGAAGTTCTGAAAGTGAGACTGGTCAAAGTAACCGCACACCAACCAGGCACTGGAGAACACCCTGCGAGGCATGGATTCCCACGCACCCAAGGTCAGGTTCACCACACCCTCCCAATTGTCCGCAGTTCGGACTAGCTGCCCACATGCCCGAAGATCAACCTCATGATACTGTGCACGTTGCCTTAGATCACCTCCCATCCCTACACTGCGCAGATCTGCTTGGCGTATTCGATCCCGCAGCGTCGCGTGGAACTGGTCGCATGGCTGGCCATGCGCACTCCAGCCACCCGGCATACGCCGGGGTGGCTGAATGTTGTGAGTCTTGTAGAACAGGTCCCTGCAGGGTAACGATGGAATCTAAGAAGAAGGAAATCAACAATCATACAAGTGTATGTGTGAACTGCTTCTGTATATCTACACTCTTTGCATCTCTTTGTCTTACATACCATACAGTGAGCAGGCTAGTAACTATACTGTAGTACCTGTGTCAGTATGTGCGATTGCTCCACCTAGCCTTCGTGCCAACTCTCCTCGGGATTCTGAAAAAAAACCCGACCAGGCGTCGCATAGAAAGCATGCTTTGGCACCCTCGTCGGACAATCCGTACCTGGGATGAAACTCAAGTGACCTGCCCTGCCTGGCTCCTACCCTAGTATGTTTAACATGGAAGTGACACCTTGACGTACTTGATCTGTGTAGACATAAGTGTATAAATGAACCTACAATATATATATATATATACAGTAATATATACATATACACACCAAACACATGTTTGTTGCTCCAGTACAGTATATGAGAACCCGTCCTTCAAAATGGTTACAGAAACATAGCAGTGAACAGGTGCCTATGTATGATTGTCAACCCTATTTGGACCTTCACGTACATTACCAGCAGTCTTGCAGCTCAGAAACCGTGTCCGTTGCATGGACAGCGCTGCGCTGTAGAGCTGTTCCATCACTTGCAACATCACATCGCTGGTCATGTAGTGTGTTTTGGAACCGCTCGTGAGGATCATGGCAGTTCCCACATGCTCATCATTGAACTTGCGGATGGTAGTTGCATCTATGGACCCCTCTGGACAAGAAAAGCAGATTGGTCCACGGCTGCCGTCAGACCAAGTGCTTGTCATAGCCTTGCAAAGTTGAACAACCATGGAAGTGCGAGGCTCTCATTGTCAGTTCAAAGGTCGAAATATGAAATGCAGACTCTACACGTGGCCCTTCCATGTACAGTATACCCCCAACTCCAACTGTTCTTGGGAAACAGAAGTGCAGAACAGGATGTCAAGTGACTGTTAGAGAGCGGCGAGAGCCCTTAACGTAGACATGCTTCTTGTTGAGGGTGCCAGGAGCTTTCTTGGCCATCCCTCTTTCTGCTACCTGGTTTCTGTCTTTGTACCATAGCTTCCCCGTCCACTGAAAGGCAGCCCGCCAAACCTGATCAAAGTTCAAGATGAGTCCTGGATGGATTCCCTCACCTTCAGGTTCAGGCTTGATCAGATTGTTCACATAGTCTCGTGCCGCTTGCATGTCACTGTGGCCAAATGGTAGGCTTTGCTGCCCGCTGCTGCCTGCTGCAAGAAGACTCCACCCCCAAGCGTTCTTGAATTTGCTGCACCATGAAGGAGAAGGGATTTCCACCTTGGTGGGGTCAGGCAACCACCCAGCGGTCACAGCTGCGGCCGTCAACTGCCCTTCATCATGCTTCTTGAGAAGGTCTTGGTTGTGGGCGGTGACTAGAGAACGTGTGACCTCCAGGCCGCTGTTCCAGTCTGCGATCAGGCCAGAAATCGTGGTAGCCTAACATGGAAGTGAAGGTCCATAATCCTTGAACAATTACAGAATATAGAGAGATGTGCAAGGCAACAACGAAATCAACGACAACAACTACAGTAAAGCATTTTAGGCACCTAGCCTGTTCACTGCCACGATCCCAAAAAACACCCACAAGGTTTACTGTACCGTTCTGTGTGAGACCGAGGTGCGATGTGGTCTGTGGTGACAACATCTGTGCGCTCTGTCACGTCTGAGTTGCCGCGAACAGTAGCCAAGATAAGCCGGTCAAGTTCCCGCTGTAGCTCCATAGGCACATGTCCCCCCACACGCCTGCCGCGGGGTGCTAGGGCGTGCTTGGAACGCCATTGGTTTGGCGTGGTCACCGATCGCACTCTCACTGCTTGTGGGAGAAGGTCCCATCTTTCCTTTTTGGCGGCTTTCACCCATTTGCAAACTTGGTTCTTCCCAACTACTGGACCAAACTTCTTTTCACACTCTGATTGAACGCTGTGCCTCAAGACTTCTCTTGCTTTCTCCCTCTCCTCCTTCCACTTACGTGCACCCATGTCGGGGTCTTTTGGTTTCTTGAGGAAGTCTCGAGCCTTTTGTTTTTGGTCCTGTAGATCCTCATAGAACTGGACTACCTTGAACTTGTCTTCGATGAAAATCTGTCTTCGTGGCACTGGTGGTGGTTCATCAAATTGCAGGTTGTCCTTTTGACGGCGACTTCTCTTGTTCTGCACGCTTCTCAACGTCTTCTTTGCAAAGTACAACTGGCGACGCCGTTTCCTCGAAAGTTTGCGGGCACGGAGGACACGCTTTACATGGAATTGAATCAACCAGGTTCTTTGAATCGTGTGTTCGCCAGAACGTAGGGTTAGCTTGGGTTGCTGCTTTCACTGGCTCAAGTGATTGCAGCCTAGGGACTGCTTTGAATAGGACAGGTGTCACAATGTTAGGTGGGCCATGGCTATCGGTGCTGGGCCTCGCATTGACCCTGGAGCTTGTTCAAGGCCCCCCGGCTGATTGGGTCTGGTGGTTTTCTTCCAACTCCTCGGATGAGGTGGAGGAGATTTTCCCAGACGCAACCGTGGGCGAGACCGCCCCTCCCAGGATGGCCCCTGAGGAAGGTGAGCGTTCCGCTCCTCACGCAGGAGATGCGAACACTTTCGCTCATGTGTGGGGTCACTCAGTTTTCCATTTTGACATCAGGTCCTGGATGGGACCAGCATGGCTTAGCACCCCACAACAGAAGGGAAGTCTTAGCTCCTCCGGGGGCTGGGGACTTTACTTTCTTGATCGATTTGGACTCGCTACCTGCGGAGAATTTTGGCCATGGATTGCCTGGGGAACCCTACTAGCGCTGATTACAGTTTTGACCATTGGGGTAATCTATGCGTTGACTTGGGTCTTCCGGCCGATCCGGCTACTCTTTGATTGCTGCACCCGTCATACTCAAGCTGTTGCACGGGAGGTAAGTGATCTTCTGCCTGAGTTGCAGGCAACCCACACTTACGAATCCTTAGCCATCCGAGGCCCTGGCTCCAGGGAAAGTGTTGATAATGACTTCCTACAAAAAGGAGTCAAGGGTCGAGGGACTGAGAGAAAGCCCAACGATGTGGTGCTTCTGCTCAATGGCCAGGCAGCGAGGGTCAAACCCGATTGCGACCACTGGGCACGCGTTGATCGGAATGGGCTTTGGGTCCGGCTGAGAGAAGTTCGAGGTGTTTCCCATCGAAATCTGAGGCAGGTTTTGGAAGGAGAGAGTAAAGTCCACCTTTGCCGGGAAATGCAATGTAGTCTTGAGAACCACCCTACACCGGGTATACACTGCAAAACCTACGCAGTGGTGGATGCCAACAGCGTGGTAGATTTGGGAGCGTACGCCGGGTGGTCCACCAGGCGACTGATGGTGCTCTTTACCAGATGTTTCAGAAGTGTCGGACGATCCGTCTGGAAGATGGTCGGGGTACTCTCTGGGTGGACGCTCCTTCGATATCTGATGGATACCCCTCAACCAGCCCGTACCATTCAGGATCATGGAGGTCTCCGTCCCCTTGACCCTGAGTCGGAATCTGAAGCTGAGGTCCTGGAAGATCCTTGCGAGGCCGTCCTAGTTGGATTGACCCATGGTGGCAAGCCGCGAGCCTTAGCCAATGAACCATGTCGGGATCAAGCAGCTGGGGAGTCGGTCCGACTCCTTGAATGTGACAAGGGTCTTTCTGATGTCAAGGGCAGGCAAGCGGTCCGCTTGTGTGATCACCACCGACAGTTGTATGTGGCAGCATGTTCCGGACGCAAGTGCAGCGTGCTCTCATGTTATGAATCACACGATGGAGCCAAACAAGGGGTCCCCCTATGCAAGCATCACCTGATGGATGTTGGTAGCTCGGTGCGCAGCAAACGCAAGGTTACCTGGGAGAGCGACGGGAGCAATCCAGAAGCAGAAGAACCATCCTCAGGAGTCGAAGGTCACTTTGAGGATCAACGGGGGGTCTCTCCTCAAGCCCGCAGTAGCCGCCCCAAGCGTAGAGCTGCCACTAGCCAGCCCAAGGCACGCGCTTCCTCAGCAGGGCCCCAATCTCAGTTCCAGCATCAAGCGGAAGGCAGGCTTCTTCAAGGCCCATGTATCTCACTAATCAGATTCAAGTCCCTCCAGAACGGGGAAAGTCTGCCCAGATGGGTCGCGTTTTTGGGGCGGGTTACTGGGGTCGCTACATCTAGCCGAGCTCAGGAGAAGGTTGAAATTGACATCCCTGCCCTCAAAGTTCAAGGGGTGGTCCACCTCTCGCAGTTGCGCCCCCCCCCCCCAGGGATGATGGACACGGACGGATTTGTAGGGAATGGATTGATGACTTCCTTCAAGCCTCCCATGAAGAGTCCGTCGGGAAAGGGATTTCATTCCTGTGTAGTCAGGTCACTGAAGAGCAAGCTCTCTTGCTCCAAGCATGGGACGGCCAGGTGACTGATGGCGAGTCTCCCTCGTTCCAATCAGGCAAGACATGGATTTGCAGTCATCTTCAACAGGAGGTTCTCCCTCATGCTGAAGCTTATGTTGTCACACATCAACACAAGAAGAAGGAGTTCATGACACCTCCGAGACCGACAGCTGTAGAAGATGGTACAGGGGAAGATTTACCTGACATTCCCCCTTTCCCAGTTGATGATGAAGTGGATACCGGAGCGCGTCTCAATGCAGCGCGAGACACGTTGTTAGCACACTCACCAGGAGATTTGAGCGCTGAAACAGTGCAAACGGTAGCCACTGCTTTCGAGGTCGATCCGACCACCCTCATGCAGCAGTTCGGGATCCCAAAGAGGCCGCTAGAAAGTGCCATTCGACCTGCTGCTCCGGCCCCATCACATACCCCACCAGGGTTGGAAGGGCCGTTCAAAGTGACGACCCCACAAA